CGAAAATTGTACAAAAGTGCCTTGTCAAAATGTGCTGCCATTTGGAAGAAGGCCCATCGCTCCCAATAGGAGCTGAGGTATTAAAAGACATTGCCAATATGAAGTGCATTGTCCCATCAGTGACCCGATGGAGCTCAAAAATCCTGCCATTGAAATAGTAGTGAGTCTCGCTGAAGCCTAAATGATTTAAGTGTGTGACCGTCTAAGTGGCCAAAATGCACCCTCAATAAACTACATTTCTCAAGGAGTACACCTCTCGCCTGCAATTGATCTCCTCCAGGGGGAAAGAACTGTTTTCTTCATAATTCCGACTATTCTTGCCCTGAAAGCCAAAAGATCTCTCAAGGACATTTCTCGGCAGACATAATCTCAACAATTGTCAAGTCCATTGATACTCGGTTCAGAGAGGTACTGGCCTCCCATGATGCAAGAATGGCAGTATCTACCATACCAACTTGAGGGAAAATATGAGAAGGATAAAGGTCTAAGAGGCTGCTCTTCTGGACATTGTGCCTTCTGCTGAACTGACCACTTTTTAAAAATGGACAGATTTCAGGTGACATGATGGGTGACAACATATTTTCTTTTAAGAATACAGAGAGTTGACAAGCACCAAAGCAGAAGATGAAATACGTAACTATCTCCAAGATCAATGCAAGACTTTGGATTAATTGAAACTCTATCCAATCAATAAATCCCTCTTCTTGAAATACAACACCACCCTGCCTTCAAGTGCTCCAGTAGAATGACTATTTGGTTAGGGAGGGCTACTTTCTACTCAGCGTACCTGAATGAAAGATGAGCACTTTGAGCAGACTCCCGTAAATATTAAAACATTTAATAGTAAAAGTTAATATAATGGATAAGCACTTTGAGTATATTCGTGTGTTGCATTAAAATCATATTGGTCTTTATTGCAGGTAATTAATATTGAATTTATTTTGATTGGAGCACACTCATTAGTGGATCGGCCAAGTTCTTATGCTTGGCATAATCGTTCAGTTTATGATACAAGCATAAAAATTGGCATGAGCGAGCGGTCTCCATGGGTCACTTGACAAGAAAATTGTCCGAGCCACTTGAAATTTCAAGATGGCGGCCATTTTTCAAGATGGCCGACACCTTAATAGAGCAGTTTAGTGATATAGTGGAGTGGTTTATTTGGTGATACAAGCATGACAATTGGCATGAGCAGTCTCTGATGGTCACTAGACAATAAGCCACCAACAGGCAACAGCTACTTGAAATTTCAAGATGGTGGCCATTTTACAAGATGGCCACCACCTTAGTGGAGCAATTAGGCTTAAGAAATAATTTTAATTGGTGATACAAGTATGAAAATTGCCATGAGCTGTTTCAAAGGGTCATTTGACAAGAAACCGCCCACAGCCACTGGAAATTTCAAGATGGCAGCCTTTTTTTTTTCAAGATTACTACCACCTAAATGGAGCAGTTAAATAAATCTCAATTAAAATAAAATGACACATAAGACTGGTTTTGTTGTCTAGAGTCACATTTATTCTCACAGAGCCTAATTAATTTTGTTTCCCTCCCTAAATGCTAATTGATGCATTAACTATCAAACATGTACTTAAGGCTGCTGTTATTCATGCATGAATCATTACGACTCCTGTCATAGTTAAAGGGTTAGTTCACCCAAAAATGAAAATTCTGTCAGTATTTACTCACCCTCATGTTGTTCCAACCCCGTAAGACCTTCGTTCATCTTCGGAACACAAATTAAGATATTTAAGATATTAAGATCGCTCCTGCATACAGTCCATAGGCTTCTTGAGGGACTGGCTCTTGCTGTCCCCAAAAAGTCATTAAAGACATCGTTAAAATAGTCCAAGTGACTACAGGGGCTCAATCTTAAGTTTATCAAACGACGAGAACACTTTTGTGCGCAAAAAAACAACAAAAATAACGACTTTATTTCAACTATTTGTTTATTTCTCCCTCTGCACGAGTCAGGTTACTAGTTTAATAGCGTAAGCTTCTGTTATTGTACGTCACACGCATCACACACATGACCAGCGTCGGCCAATAGTGAGCCTACGTGTGACGTAGCTCTACGCAATCACACTACGTTAACTGACTTACAGGCTCATGGAGAAGGAAGTGAATAGTTGAAATAAAGTCGTTATTTTTGTTGTTTTTTTGCGCACAAAAGTGTTCTCGTCGTTTGATAAACTTAAGATTGAGTCCCTGTAGTCACTTGGACTATTTTAACGATGTCTTTAATGACTTTTCGGGAACAGCAAGAGCCAGTCCCTCAAGAAGCCTATGGACTGTATGCAGGAGCGATCTTAATATCTTAAATATCTTAATTTGTGTTCCGAAGATGAACGAAGGTCTTACGGGGTTGGAACAACATGAGGGTGAGTAAATACTGACAGAATTTTCATTTTTGGGTGAACTAACCCTTTAAGGATAGCTCTTAATTGGTTCATGTTGAAGTAACTATTAATTCAGGCATTAGTACATGATTATTCATGTCCTGTTATTGTAAAGTGTTACCCTTTTTGCCCTTTGGATGTGCACATTTTGTGTCGAGTCTTTGTTAATCAACTGGAACTTAAAATTATATGAATGCTGAAGACCCTGTAGAAACACTGCATTCAGCTAAAGAAAATAAAAACATTATTGGAGAAGAAAAGGTCAAAGAGTGTGCCTCATCATAATATATATTTGTAAACAGTCAGTTCTGGCCTTTCTAATGAACTTTTGCTAAATAACTCAGTGATCTCACATGCTGTTCATAATGATAATACATCAGACATTATGGCCCAGTTACTGTCCTGTGCAAATTAGAGGCTCATAAATATAATCGAAATGGTGTTGAAGTATATCAAGACAACAAGTTTGCTTTTACAATCTGTAAAAAAAAATTGTTTAAAAACTTGTAATACATTTTTTTGTTTGCCTTGATGTGAGTAATCAACATTAGGTTTGTAATCTTTTCCCTAATGGGATTCTTCTAGGCTTTTCTTCCCCTTACTCGGGGCATTGAGGATACAACATCTGTTGAGTTTGCTTCTTTTGCAATTTGTTCTCCCTTGTTTTCATAAAATGACTGCTCTATAGGTGTCTTTAAAGCTGCAGTCTGTAGTTTTTCCTCTTTGTCGCCCTCTCTGTTCGAAACCTGCAATTGCGGTTATTCATAGAATTATTAACTTTATCACGGCACAGCGCGGATGGATCCAATGTTTTGAGGAGAATGTGCGGCTGTCAGTCACCGTGCCGGTGTTGATACTTTGTTCTGACCAACTAAGGAAAAAAAAACATTGTAATAAGTCGCGCTGATTAAATCTAATGATCGCTTGTCATATCACATCAAATCGTACAAATTATACTTTGTTCTCAAATTGTTCACAACATCAGCATTGCGTGACTACATTTAATGCCCTAGATTTATTTTGGATAATGTTTAACCCAAAAAACTTACGGACTGCATCTTTAACTACGAACTTTCATTAAAAAAAATATGTACAATGTACTTTTTGGTTTGAATTTGTATTATAGACCGATCAATTCAATCTAGCTATTCAGTCATCATTTTCTCTAATTAGTAGAGACTATTCGGTGCGTGCTGTGAGTATATATTTAATTTCTTGGTTTCTCACATAGGACAGAATACTGCTGCCATTTAAACTGTAAGTAATGAGTGTGGTTACCTAGTAATTTACAGTGCGCTTGTGGACCTTAATCACAAAGACAACTCCTGATCTTGCAGAGACATAGATTGATACAGAATACAGAGGATATTTTCTTCCTCGCTTCACAGCATGTCTCTCTCGATTGTTTTATTACTTGCAGCAAACTCAACAGCTTTGCACCACAGGATGTAACTCCAGCTCCATTAGACTGTTGTGAGGTCCATAATGGTTGGAGAAATTGAGACCACATGGGTGGTATCATTCCCATTTTATTCACGGTTGAACAAGAGTTTAATTATGAGAACAGATGTATGCTCAACATACAGTATGCTCAAAGTCTTTGAAATATACATATTTTTTTAATGTTGGTCAGTATTAATAACAGTTCTGTGGTTAGAGGATAATGGTGTATTGTAATGTTTAATTGTTATGATCTATGCCCCAAGCTTGTGTGAAACATTGATCTGCACTCCCATTAAAACATCAGTTTAAAAGCAATGGCAACAGACAAAACAATTAGTGCTGTAAGTTCATGGATTTAAATGTAATCTTTCCAGTTTACTTTCCCTCAGAATGTTTTCCTTTGTGTTGCACATTTTTGCATTTATTCCCGAACAAAGAATACAAAGAACAAAAAAGAACAAAGACCTACACATTTTTCTCCATAATTAATACACAAACTATTTCACTCTGATCGATATTGTAGACGTTCATGTTTAAAGGGACAGTCAGACCAAAAATGTTAATTAATTAAAAATCAAATCGCCTTCATGTCTTTCCAAACCTCTATGGCTTTCTTTCATCTGTGGAACACTAAAGAAGATATTTTGAAGGATGTTTGTAACTAACCAGTTTGGGTTCCCAGACAATATCTTATTTTGTCTTTGGCAGAACAAAGAAATAAACACAGGTTTGAAAAGACTTGAGGGCAAATGATGACAGAATTTTCATTTTTGGAAGAATTATACCTTTACTGCACTCTTTTTATATTCCTTAAGCATTATAGCCAAGGGGTTGTTCTTAATCTTATTCAACTTTTGAGATTCAGTTCAAAATTATTTCAGCCCAAACTGCTGAATATACAGACAATATGTAAAGGGTACCGTTAATCATCATATGTTGTCTTTGGGGTGCTGATATGATCCCAAAAAGGCCACAACAAAACTTGCATATGCGTTACATATCATACATATCATATGTTAGTTTTTTTCGTACACAATTTTCCAAATTCATTTTTATAAATCATTTAATATGTTGCTGTTTACTGTTACACAGTAAAATCCAAAGTGTTCCAAAAATCCAATGTGTCCCAATGGGTGTGTGCAATTTGTTCACCCTCAGGTGCTTTCTGGAACCAGCATTGCAAGAGGAACTCTGTGACAGCATGGAGGACGAGCTAGCAGAAGTGGAGATGTTGCAGGAGCTTTCCACGCTCAATTTGAACAGCAGTCTCCTGAATGCTTACGCAAACCACAGTAATGTCACCAACCACACGAGTATCACCTACTACCCATATTACCAGCACTCTCTGTCTGTTGCCGCCACCCTGACGACGGCCTACCTCTTCATCTTCCTGTTGTGCATGGTGGGAAATGGCTTGGTATGTCTGATTGTGCTGAAGAATCGGCAGATGAGAACGGTCACGAACCTCTTCATCCTCAACCTGGCCGTTAGTGACCTTCTGGTGGGCGTCTTCTGTATCCCAACAACCCTGGTGGACAACCTCATTACAGGTAAAACAAATCACTACACTGATACAAACATGTGAAAGAGAGAGAGAAAAAAGAATCCTTGAAAAAACGTCTTTTGCCTTGACCGCTTCCTTAAAGGAGTAGTTCACTTTTGAAAAAAAATTTGCTGATAATTTACTCACCCCCATGTCATCCAAGATGTCCATGTCTTTCTTTCTTCAGTTGAAAAGAAATTAAGGTTTTTAATGAAAACGTTCCAGGATTTTTCTCCATATAATGGACTGCAATGGGAACCAAACGGTTCAAGGTCCAAAAGAAACTTTCAGTACAAACTGCAAACTTGTTCAAAGGGCTTTAAACGATTCCAGACGATAAATAAGGCTCTTATCAAGCAGAACGATCGCTCTTTTTAAAAAAAAAAATAACAAAGTTTAAGTTTTATAAGATCAAATGCTCGCCTTGCTCTGTTCTGTGGTGCACTTTCGTGACTCTCCTGTTCGAACTCTTGTTCGATCTTTTTCAGAATCAATTCGTTCGTTTCTTTCGCCGAATGAACCAAATGACTCGGAAAAAGATTTGTTCATTTTGATGAACGAGTTCGAACAGGAGTGCGTTACAGAACAGAGCAAGGCGAGCGTTTGAGCTTATAAAACTTAAACTTTGTTATTTATTTATAAAACGAGCGATCCTTTCGCTTGATAAGACCCTTATTCATCGTCTGGAATCGTTTAAAGCCCTTTGAACAAGTTTGCAGTTTGTACTTAAAGTTTCTTTTGGACCTTGAACCGTCTGGTACCCACTGAACTCCATTATATGGAGAAAAATCCTGGAATGTTTTCATCAAAAACCTTAATTTCTTTTTGATTGAAGAAAGAAAGACATGGACATCTTGGATGACATGGGGGTGAGTAAATTATCAGCAAAAGTTTTTTCAAAAGTGAACTACTCCTTTAAGCTGAAAACATTTTTCCACCGCTCATGGCTGTGTAGCACATCTTTCGAGCATTTCTCCACAGAGCTCTTATTACTGCAGTGAACCCTGGGTTGTTCCCCCAGTTAGCTCTTTCACACTGCATTATGCTGGGTTGTATCTCAATCCCACAGTTCACATTCTAGAGCTAATACTCCTACAGCATTGACCTATTCTGATATTTACTAGCTTCAGCATATGTCAGTTCTTGCTATTTGGCTCATAGAACAAAAAAGCTCATCAAAGGCTGGATTTCGTTCAGAACTGCAAACGCTCTTTAGCTTTTTTTGCTGGTTATTGTGTGTCCTTACTCACTTTGAGGATCAGTGCCCGAAGTTGAATACATTATTTTAAAAGCCATGGATAATGGCTTAGAAATGAATAATGAATTCTAATGTATAATAAGAAAAATTTTTGGAAGACACAGCCTGTTTGCTGGACAACAGGTGAGCCATGCACGGGATAGCATGCTATTATACATGAACTTGTAAAAATCTCAAAGCAAGTGTCAACTAAAATGCACAGATTCAGATATTCATTTATATGCATGGTAAAAGTTTTCAAACCCTGAATATTTTCTTTCAACTTCTCATCAGCTTTTTTATGTAAGCGCTGCCCTCTTATTTGAGGCTGTCTTTTTTTCTACTGCAGAATATAAAAGACATTTTGAACAGTGTTTCTGTCACAGTCAGGTTTATTTTTTGTCTTTTGTTTTAGTTCTGTCAGGTCCATTAAGTCAAGAACACACATGACAATGAATGTTTAGGAAATTGCATTCAAAAAATTGCCATTCAGTTGATAATTAAAATTTGGTGGTATGGCTCTGTACAGGGAGTCCTGTGACCTTTCACAAGCACCATGAAATGACAGAGAGTCAGAGGACAGCAGCAGCATTAGGGAACGCTCACAGTTTAGTATTATCCCCTGGCAACCTCTTGTGAATAAGACAAGAGATGGAATTAGACAATTAAAATGCTTGGAAATCTTTAAGAATAAATACGAGTAGTTGGCAATATGTTCCAGTCAGGGGGCAGCAGCAACATTAGGGGATGCTCACATGAATTAGGACTAGGACAGCTGATCTATTTCCCCCAAACAGACCGTAAAGCTCCTGTGATAAAAATAATTGAAGGATGAATTAAGCAGCAAGCAAGCGCATCCAGGGGCAATGTAACTAAGCAGAAGACAGACAAGTAAGATTCAGCTGATGAGACTTTCTTTTAAATTGACTCACTGACTGTCTTTTTAGAGCTGTACCACTGCAGAAATAATTCAGTTTGCGCCATGAATTGTTATTTACTAACTGTCTATCACTGCAAGCTGCTTGATCTGTGCTGCATAGTGCTAAAATCACGGCATGTTGCCACTGACAACAGATAAGTAATGCACATTGGCAATATTTTTGCATTGGCATAGCAAGAGCATTTAAATTAAAAAAACAACTAGATAACCACAAGCCCACGGATAGCATTAGCAACCGCATGGTGCCCATATCCTGATAACTTTTAACAATGAGCATTAAAAAGGAAGTTAGCTTCATGAAGACTTTCAGAGATAAATGGAGAGTGAATACATCGAGTCCTGTTTCAATATTGCAGAGAGCGAGCAGTTAGGAGCGAACTGAATTTGCTTAAATAGGGCGCCCCCTGATTTGAGCATAGTCATTATCAGCGAGGGGAGATAAACAGCAGATGCGCCTGAGCAGATCGCTGATGAGACCGTGTTGTCGGCCAATAGCGTTAGTAACATCTTGACTACTTGGCCTGCCAGAACTGATGCTGACAATCAACTCATGGTTATCATTGTTTGTTTTGCCTGAGTTCTAATTCAGTCATTCATAGTCATGATCTCTAATTAGATTTACATTTAATCAAGACGCTTTTATTCAAAGCGACTTACAAATGAGGAGAACAATAGAAGCAATCAAACCAACATACTCTGTTGTGGCAAGTCCCAGTTAGTCTAGCATAGTTATTATTATTATTATAGTTTATTTAGATAGGGACAGATACAGATAACATAGATACACTTTGATAGTGATCTGATGCATGTATCAATGTTTTTAGCCAAAGCTAATTTACAACATTAGTCCCTAGAATAGTACACGTGGCAATATTAGTTTCACACCTGTTTCCTGTTCCATTGAAGTCCTTCCTCTGTGTATTAAAGTCTAAATTTCCCCCTTACTTTATAGTCTCGTGTTAACATTACATGGATTGTGTTTGTACAAGCTCTATCTGTTTTGTTTTATTGACTCGGAGCCAGAAAGATCGCCAGAGGCGGTCTTCATCCCAGAGCCTGAATCCAATGGAGAGTTAATCCAGGTGTGTTTGCTGGCAACAGCGTCAGTCATCGATGGCGTTTTTGTGGAGTTTGTCGGCTTGAAATAGGAGCCCTGCCCACCCTCCTGCGGCTGAAGATGGGCTATTTAAACAGAGCTAGATTAATGTACTACATGCTTTACATACTTTTGTTGTACTTCAGTCACCTTCACTCCCAGCCAGTTCCTTATTGTTGCAGTCATCACTGGATATTTCCAAGTTGCCGCTGGTTATGCCCAGTGCCAAGTCCCCATTGCAGATGCTCAGCCTCCCTCTCCCTCGTCCACCGCCAACGCCAACCAGTTCATCTGCCTCGTCTCCGCTGTCACCATTCAGCTCCTCCAGTTGTTCCACTTCTGGATCTAGTCCTCCTTCCACCATTGTCCTCATTCCACAAGCCATTGCCGCTCCACCGTGGCCCTCCAGGCTTTTGGCACCACCCTCAGATCCGCCTTGGTCTCAAACTCCGCCATATCTATCCCAGTCAGCAGTGCCCCTTGGTTCCACCTGGCTCCTCTACCAACACTCCACCATGGTCCTTCATACTATGGCTCCTCCCATCTATGCTCTGGTTCCTCCTGTCTCTGCCCTGGCTCCTCCCAGGTCATCATCTCAATGGTGTCTTATTCTGCCTGCTCCTCGTCCTCCTCCAAAGTCCCCACCCTCCCTCCTCAGATTGGACTGTTTGTCAGAAAGTGGAGTGAAAAAAGCTGATTAAAATGCCAATGGGCTCTATGCACGGCGGTATTTCCGGTGAAGCATTAGGGATGCTCGATAACTTCCGCCGATCGTAGAGTCCAATGCAACACCGAGAATTTATATTGAATTTTATACTCCATGGTTATACTAAAGAAACGTTAGTCACAAAAACAGATAAAACAGACACCCCTCGTTGTGTTTATGCTTCTTTTTAAAATTATATTAAATAAACGTAACTATATATAAAATTACATCTAAACGTAAAAGTTTCGTTTCAAAGACGGGAGGACAGTAAATTTTGAAGACTCTGCCATAATCCCGTTTTCCCCGGTTTTCCTCCGCTTAAATCTCCACAACCGGAAATGGACGAGCATCCTTGCGTCAAATGCGGAACTTATGCTTGCATATAGCCCATTATCAATATTTTTTTGCAAATCCGAGAAAAAACAAACAAATCTTTTTCTATTTAACTTTAGCCCACAATTTTTAGGTTGATACTTCAAATATCACAAAAAACTAAGTTTATTCAATTCAAGTGGATTGAATGCAATGAAAACAGACTGAAAAATCATATTGCATTAGCACATTTTAAAGAAGTCCACTTTAGGCGATTACAGTAAATATGAATAAAACTAACATTTAATCCAATGAAATTTATTGCTAATTGGTTAACAATAAATACAACTCAGGCAAATTAGCAACAATGAGTAGTATATCCTCAGTGTTTTTTCTTTAATCACATGAGTGTTAAATGCTTCTCTTCTCTCCAGTCACCTGCCCCCTAGATCCCATTCCCTCACACCTTCAACAAACCATCTCGCTTACACTTTTACCAGCACTCACACACATCAACATCACTCCACACTGGGATTTTCCTTACCGCATTCAAGCAGGCTTGGGTAACCCTGCAGCTTCAAAAACCCACTTGTAGATAGTTACAGACCTTTTTCTCCCAAACCATACAGCGAAAATACTTGAACAAATAGTTTTCAACCAGGTAGCATCTTTCCTCTCACAGAGTAACCAACTAGACATCAACCAATCTGGTTTCA